CATGTTGTTTTTTTTTTTATTATTTTTTATCGTGTGTTTCTTCTTCTTCTTTTTTTTTATTTTGGTTTTGAGAGATGAAATTCTATTTCTCTTCGTAACGTGTTTAATTTTTTTTTTTTTTTCTTGCTTTGAACTGAAGGGGAATTGTTAGAAGAGGGATGATGTTTAATTTGTTAAGGAGAGGCAGGTAATCTGTGATTCTTTTTCTTTCTTGTTTCTTTTCTTTTTTTTTTTTTTAGTATTATAACGTTTGCATACTGGTTTGATGTATTTATTATTCTTTGTTTTAGTCTCCATGGTGAAATTACTCTTCTTCTTCTTCTTCTTGATGTTTCATTTTCTTTGGGAAATTCTTCTTAAATGATTCTTAGTTTATTATAGAAACGGTATTATATCTTATTGCTTCTTTTCTTCTTTGTTTTTTAGCTTTCAGTAACTTTTGCAGTAACTTTTCGTTTATTCCTATTTTAATAATTAAGATAATATTCCTCTTCTTAAGCTCTTAATATCTTTTCTTTATTGAGATTCTTTATTGCAATAATTTTTATTTTGTTAATTTTTTTCATTCTTTGTATTCTTTTCTTTCTTTGTATCTAATCTTTTTAAACTTTTTATTCGGTTAACGAAAATTAAATTTGAATCGATATATTATTAATTGGTTTTCTATGAACTAATTTTCGTGTTTCCTTTTTATTTAATTATTGGATGCTAATTCTTTGCTACTTTCTTTTTTATTCTAATTATCGAAAGTAGCTTAAAAAAAAGCGAGAAATAATAATTTTTTTAAGAATTCATTCCGTCTTTTTAGTATCCCAATGTGAGCAAGATCGGAAGTTGGAATCTACAAGAGGCAAGATGTTTGCACGAATACTACTTTTTTTGAATTTTCTTTTATATTTCTTGTGTTTGGAAATATTATTTCATATAATTTCTCTTCTTTTTAATTAATATTCTGTAATTTAATTAATATATTATTTGAATCGAGTAGTTTATTGATAAAATTTATTATTGATTAAATTTATTAAATTTAACAATACGTAGAAAACAATTTTATTAATTGAATATTTGTTTCTCGACGTTATTTTTTAAATTTACTAATAGACAATTTTAGGAAATAGGCTGTCTTCTTGATACAAATTTCGAAAATTCGATTTCCTCAACTTTACTAACTTTACTATTATTTATTTTCAAAGATTATCTAATGAAAATTTTTTTCTTTTTTTTTATAATACTAATTTATTATCTTCTTGATTAAATTTAATATGAAAATAAATTTTTTATACTTTTCGTAATAACGTTAATTTTACTTTAATAATATCTACTATTTTTAATATAAAACTGGATAATATCGGGTAATTCATAACCTCTAATTTCGTTTCATCGATAGTGTGATCATGGATACATGTAAAATATTTCATTTTATTATTTTATATTAAAATTTTAAATCGACTGGTCAAAATGTTTTAATTCCAAAAATTCGGCAACTTTGAACATTTTACAACATCTACTCCCTTTACGACCTTTACTTTTCTGCCTTTTTCATTTCTAATTAAACCAAAACAGGAAAAAAGGGGGAGGGAAGGGAGGGAAAAGAAAAAAAAAGATCATGTTTCTCAAAAAAAGGAAAAAACGAAATTCTCTGACGTTTTTGTTAGAAAAGGAAAACACGTTCGTGGAGAAAAAGTTACCGTGGAATGAAGTAGAAATATTCGAATATACTGTGGTTAATTGGATCTGCATTCATTAAGTTATAAACAGAAGAAAAAAAAAAAATGATCTTCTTTGAACATGTGAATTTAATTATATTCATCAAAATTATATACTTTTATTTGCTGCAACATACGAATTGTATTATATTTTCAACAAAAAAATGACTTTTCCTCAATGTAATTTTAATAATTCCCAAAATCAAAATTATTTACAATATTCGTTTATGAACGAATGTAAACACTTCATCACCCTTCTTTATCCAAGATTCAAAGAAAGATATATATTTCGAATATTAACAATAATAATAATTCTTCGATCTGTATTTATTAATTTATTAATTTATTATCATTAAACCACGAATGTTTATACAATTTGATATCTTTATGAATGCACCTTAATATATTCGTATTTGAGATCTATTTTGTCACGCGCATCTTTAAATATCCCATGAATCAATTTAGCTTGATTTCAATGAAATTCCTGCGAATGATAG